CTTCTGCCTGTCTGCCTACGCATTACCTGCCAGCTCATCCTCACAGCCCCTCGTTTGTTGTCCTCTTCTCTCTCTCTGCCTACGGTTTTACCGGGCAGTTCTGTTTGTGACGGTATATATCTATATATCTATATATCTATATATCTATATATCTATATCTATATGTATATAAAAAAAGAAAAAAAGAAAAAAGAAAAGATATGTTGATCTGTGGGATGAGTTATTTGCTTTGTGACAATTGGATTATCTTTCTTTCCCTGTCAGGTTTGGTTTCCTCCTCCTTTTCTTTACCTCTTTGCCTTTTGGCTGCGTGCAAGTGGGTCCTTGTGACGCACGGGGATGGGGGCAGCCAGCGCTCAACCTGTCATCCACGTGGCTGGCCTTGTACGTAGGAGGTGATGAACAGGTGGGGCTTTCCTTCCTGACTTTTTCTCTTTCCCTTCCTTGTTTTGCTTTTTTCCGCCTTTGCGCTACGATTCACAGTGTGACAATATATATATCGTCACATATATATATATATATATATATTGTCATATATATGTATGTATATACATCCACGTGGGCTGCCTTGTATGCAAGAGGTTCTGAAGAGGGGGAGTTGTAAGGAAAAAAAAAAAAAACGAAAATTTTCCCCGTTTCTCTTTGTTTTTCTCGCTCTGTGCTCTGATAACTTTGTGACAATATATATTACTGTGTACTGTCCTTTTTCCCTCCTCTGATGACGGGTTGTCATAAACAGTTATGCATAGGCTGTGGAATGCCTCATCTATGACATAGCCATTATCAATCTACTGCCACTGCCGCCGTCTGTAGTGAAGAGTGTCCAACATTTCCTCATTGTACACATCCCTATCACCCAGATATACGTTGTCCCTTTTGTGCCCAAGGACGCTATCAGAACTGYATGATGCCGCACTGTGATGAACGTCCTGCTGTTCTTTTGACATGTGGACAACATCATGATGTCCTCTGTCAGGACTGTTTTGATGGGATGGTTCGTGCTAGCCGTCCTGCTGAATGCTGTGCTGGCGCAGCTCTCCTTGGGTATCCTTGTGAACATCCGCATCATCCTCACCGTAGCTGTCCTTTCTGCCGAGGTGGGGACAGAAAAAAAGAACAGAAGAAAAAGAGAGAAGAAAAGAAAAAGAACAAGAAAAAAACGACAATAAGAAAATAAGAAAATAAGAAAAAAAGAAAAAATATGTTGATCTGTGGGATGTGTTATTTGCTTTGTGACATTTGAATGATCTGTGGGATGTCTCATTTGCTTTGTCTGACTGATAGGCTTTTGCTCATCCTATCAGGTTTTGTTTCCTCCTTTGTCTTTTTTTTTTTTTTTTTTTTTTTTTTTTTTTTTTTTTTTTTTTTTTTACCTCTTTGCCTTTTGGCTGCGTGCAAGTGGTTCCTTTTCACACACGGGGATGGGGGCAGCCACCGCTCAACCTGTCATCCACGCGGCTGGCCTTGTACGTAAGAGGTCATGAACAGGTGGGGCTTTCCTTCCTTACTTCTTTTCCTTTCTTGTTTTGTCTTTTTCCGTTTGCCATCCGATTTACACTGTGACAATATATATATATATATATATATATATATATATATATATACCCTCAACAGTCTGCAGAATCCCCTATATATATATATATATATAGGGGATTCTGCAGACTGTTGAGGGTTCAGCCTCCTGATGAGTCGGTGAAACTCCGACGAAACAGTTTGTCACAGCCCCTCGTTTGTTGTCCTCTTCTCTCTCTCTGCCTACGGTTTACCAGGCAGTTCTGTTTGTGACGATACATATATTGTCACAAACAGAACTGCCTGGTAAACCGTAGGCAGAGAGAGAGAAGAGGACAACAAAAGAGGGGCTGTGACAAACTGTTTATATATATATATATTTCTGTTTGTGACGATATATAAGGAAGATGAGCAATATCGAACTTCAGAAATGAACAGCATCATACACAGGAGACCAGCTAGTCGTGACATATGTGGTTGGGATTACTTCCTTTTTTCTTTTTTTTTTCAGACACTGGTGTTTTTTTTTTTTTTTTTTTTTTTTTT